TCACACACTTGGTCCCCAGCTCACATGCTCACACACTTGGTCCCCAGCTCACATGCTTACACACTTGGTCCCCAGCCACAGGTGGTACCTGGGGAGGTTGTGGAATCTTTTGGAGGTGTGATCTAGCTAGAAGTACAGGATCTCACAGGCGTGGATCATCCTGGTCGATGTCATGGTTTCTGGTTCTCAGACATGTGACTGGATGCCTCAAGCTCCAGCTACCCAACCTTCCCAGCCATGATGGACTATCCTTCACACCATGAGCCCAAACAACCCCTCCTATCTTAAACTGCTTCATATCAGATACTTCATCACAGAACAAGACTAACGGATATAACAGTTGAGCCTAGGAAAAAAACCAACAGACCATTATCATTGCTTCTTTCAAGTGAAAAACTATAAACAGAATAAGTTCAGAAATGGAATATGATGAAAACATTCAAAAGTATCCAGGATGCAAATGTCTGTGTATGTGTATGTTTCCTAAGCTTACAATGAAGCCACATGATTTGTTTTTATAGTATATCATGGCAACATATAGTGTGATGCACATTTTGCTAGAAAGCAAACTTCACATTTTAAAAATTGGTCTTTTCCAAGTTCATGATTCAAGGTATGATTTCCCTAAGATATGGGAAAAACCATGGGATTTCCAGGGGATTCAAGCCACAGACTATAGTAAATCTTACTGCCAGGAGTTTCAAGTATTGGCATGGGAGCATTACTTTGTCACGGGGCATTCTGTGAGGTGCTTTGGCCCAACAACATGTTAATACAGGTATGTCAAATATGTTAAGGCAGATCAGGCTGAGCTGCTGTGTTGAAGGTAAGCTTGTTGTTTGCAGTCTGGAGTGATTTCACAGGCACAACTCCCTGTGAATGGAGCAACCTCACACATCACTTCCTTTAGAGCTCTATGAGTTGTTAAGGGAGTTGGTGGCTGTACCTTGGCGATGTGTCTTTTTCTGTGATTGGTTTAATGGCCATTCATCATTTCGGTTAACTGATACAGCAGGACAGAGCCATGACCAGCTACTGGGACATTCACTCCTTGACACCTGGGGATTGATCAGTCTTGTGGGCCTGTGAGTAGAGTCAGGTTGATGAGTGAGCAGCTGAAGGGACACAGTTGTCTACAACTATGACTGTCTTTCTAGTAATGCTGTGCTGGAGGAGTGTGTGTACACCTGAGTTATGTGAGTGTGTGTGTGTGTACACCTGAGTGTGTGTGAGTGTGTGTACACCTGAGTGTGTGTGTACACCTGAGTGTGTGTTAGTGTTTATGTATGTGTGTGGGTTCATGTGTGTGAACATGGGGGGGTGTGAATACATGTGTGTTTGAGTCATTGGCCTGCTTCCTGCCTTCTCATCACCAATTTTCCACCATGACAGATGTGTTTCAACGGTCTGGGAACCAGGTTCCAGGAACACAAATGGATCCAGCCTGGGCAGATCTCTAAGCAAAGCCTAAATAAGCCATTCTGGACCTGGAAAGGCATCTTGTTTGCCAATTTGAGCAGCCATTGGGCTGTCCCAGGGATCAACAAACTGCATTCTTATGCAAAGCATTGCTGGAACAGCCTGGTAGGCTTTGGTGAAATGAGCCCCGAATGAGCCCCCTCCCATCCATGAAGCTCATAAACTACAGCAGAGTAGGGCTGCATGGGACCTAGGATCAAGCAAACCAGTACTGTTTTTATTGTGGCTGTGTGTACTGCCAGACAATCCCCCAGTCTGAGCATTTACGCCTTGGCAGCTCAGTTGTCTGCCCCCAGCATGTGCTCTTCCTCCATGTCTCACATGTGCAGCATCTGCTGAGAGGTATGTGGTTCACACATAGAAAACCTTGAATGAGCACAGGTAAGCTTCATGAACCACTCTGGTATATGATGAATTGCATGTGTTCATTTGCAGTTTAGCATGGCTTGGGAATCATGTTCAGGTATCCTCCAGGCTGTAAAAGCCTCATGCATTGTGGGACAGACCCCTTGTCTGCAAATGATTTACCTTTGATGTGAACAAGCTGTTTCCACCCAACACATTCCCTTTGATGGTTGCCTGGTAGAAATCAACATCCCTCCTTTGTTCAGACATAAGGTATGTGAACTAGAAATTATAGAGGGAAGATAATTTGAAAATAGCCATGCCAAAGATGTATGCTGTTTCCTTTCCACACTGGTAGGCAGGAAATAGGCTGGGTTATCAGGCTTGATGGCTCAGAGATGTTGTCACAGGCACTTGCTACAAAGTCGTAGCCTCCAAACTCTTCAAACTCACCATAATAGTTCTTCTCTTATTGTTTTCCTCTTAAGACAGAGGTTCATATAGGTCAGGTTTGCTCTCATGCTCCTGACCCCTGACTCACCCACGTGCTAGGATCACAGCATGAGCCATGAAGCCTGTGTTTAATCAGAGATGTCTTTTTTTTTTTTATTAAAATACTGAATATTGAGCTCAGTACCATGTGCATGCTTATCAAGCAGTCTACCACTGACCTATT